CAGCAGGGTAAGAGCAGAAAGACAGGAACAGGGCTTAGTTAAACCCGAGATTCCCACTGAAATGCCATTTTCCTTATGCAACAGAAAAACCAAGGCATCCAGGAGCCTTCCCAGGGTAAATAAAGAGCAAGTGAAAACTCCAAACACATTTTTGGAGTTCAGTTCACAGTTGAATTTGTGAATCTTCTCCAGGTACTCTCTAGAACAAGCAGTTATCTTTTTCATGACAGAACCAGCTCAGCCTCTGTTTTATAGTCATCATTAGTAGTTTTAATTTGGGGGAGGGGGGGAGAGAAAAGAAGAGGAAAAAGCTTCTTAATTAGCCAAAACTGCAGGACAAACAAACAGAACAGTCAATTTTTTCATGAAGCTCACAGAACTACCATACATTTCTCACTTTCTTTAGAACAAAAGAGTTTAACTCCTCCAATGTCCTAGATGTCTATTGGTCCCAAGCTGGTATCAGTTACTTGGCCATTCATATTAGAGCTTATGCAAGCTGTAATTCTGATTGTTTTGATATCTAATATGCTTTCCTTTTGCTTTACAGTGCTGCTCAGAATTAGTGAGTGGGTATATGGTAGAGCAAACACCAAAAGCAAGAAGTATAGTGCCAGTAACAATACAAGAAAATGTAACACAGGAATATAAATTAGCATAGCAGCAGTTATAATCCTTCAAAATGTCTCCTGCACATCACACTTCTACCAGTCTTAGCTAGCCTGAGCTTTGGTAAAAGCAGTCTAAAGCTGGAACATGATACACATCCCAACAGAGTTTAGACCTCCAGGGTATGCCGCAAAGTTCACCTCTTCTCCCAGACCAATGAGAATAAAGGTGAAGAGGAAATGTAAGAATAAGAGTTGTTGGTGGAAAGGTGCTTTAAGCTTTTAAATGAATTTACCAGTATAAGTATATACTTCTACATTGCACTGAGGATATTTAGGTGCAATGGTTCTAGCATGTGTATAACTAAATACAATGCTATCCATGGGATATTGAAGTTAGAAAGTCAATGAAACAACCCCAATTATTAAGTGGCAACATTTATTAAGCATTTTGTCCAGTGTCACATTCACTGTACAGCAGAACAACTACTCAAAGTGAAAATCTATACCCTCTGCTTGGCTCCAAATGACTAGCTCACTGATTTAAGCTTCAAGCACAGTGCAAAGTAGCATCACATTATCAGAATTTTCAAACATACCTGACATCTCATGAGAAACAGAAAAATGAAAGATCATCACTAGAAATTGTCTGATCATTGGCAAATTGGCTTTTCTGTTCTTTATCACACAGGCAGATGATCCAGCAAAAATCTCCAGCCTTAGCCTAAACTGTGCATCAGGCCATGATGGCATGGTAGCCAGTAACAGAAACAGAAGAGTATACAGTTCTGCCCCAAACAGGCATATCTTAGCATTTCTTGCAAAAAGCAAAATGACCTGATCTAGGATGCAACAGCTATTTTAGTGGCAAAAGATGTCAGAGAACCAAAAGCATGCCATGGGCCCATGTAACCTGCATTTCTAGTGACAGGATTAGATGCTCTGGTATATGGTAGTCAAATATCTTGACTATCATTCTTTTACATAACTATCTGAAAAGCAGTGAGATTTTTCTTGGAGCCTGTGAATCTGTTGCAGTAATAACTCCATCAATTATATTAAAATGTAAAATTGTTTTCATGAGAATGTAGTATCAAAAGAGACTGTAAAGCATCCTGAACTTAGTTAAAAAGCCTCAGCTATAACCCACTTCTAATCAGTTGCTGAGTACTATCCAAACACAGAAAAAGAAAATACAGTTTCATAACTGATCATGAAAAAGAAGCAGTGAGTGTCAACCTTCCCAAAGAAGAAAGAAGGATGTTAAAAAGGCAGGTGAACTCTACCTGTCCACATACTGACAGGGGTCCTTGCCCATATAGGCATGTCATATATAGGTCAAATAAAGCAGTCAAAATCTATCAGGTTTTGTGCTCAAGAATCAGAAACTTGGAGGACGTAATTCCAGTTCAATGAATAATTTCAGACCTCTCCATAGTTAGAAAGCTATAATACCATTATTTTTCATAAAATGCTACAGGCCATGAAGATATTTATCTATTTTCAAAATACATTTCCTATTAGACCCTTGTAAGTTTAAGGCACATAATGTTCAAAGCATGCACATTTAGAATATGCTAGTTTTCATTACAAAAGTAACTGCTTGCACTGAACTGCCTTAGCAGGCCAAATAAGTGGCTAGGATGAAGACAGGGAGTATAACTTCCTTCCTTCCTCATCTAAGTCCGCACCTGGAGAGTTCCTGAAGATAGGCAGCAAGCACGAGATTTGTTTCTGAGAGCAGAAACTTGAGAGCTAGAGTCACAACAACTGTTCAGCCACAGCAGCTCAAGGCCATCTGAGCAGCAGCTCTAGTTTCATTCTCCTTCCAAAATAAATCCACATTTGCTCCAGCTTCACAGGAAAGGAGACCATTAGCTGACCAGCATCAGTTTGAAATTTACAGAGATTAGGGCAACCACTGCTGCCCTTTGACAATCTACTTAATGGTCAAAACATCTACTGTATGTCCTCTCTAAGCACCAGATGCCGATGCTTCAGGTGTTTGGTTGCTGGAAGAAAAGATAGAAGACAAGTTCTCTGTCCCCAGCAAGAGCACATGGAGGTGCTATGGTCAATAAAGATATTAAGAACTCTTTAGATCAATCAGATCATCTTTAGAACAACCCCATCACCTTCAGGGCTGGGAGATCCTTTATCAAAAAGAGTAAAATCCATTCCTACCTTGCTTTGCTAATGAAGTTCTGAAAAAGTTCAGGATTCACTCCCTGCTCCTCTTCCTGTTTCTTTTTGGATCGCTTCTGAACCATCTGTTCTGTTTCCTGTTAATAAGTAGTATCAGTAAGTGTCTCTATGTGGTTACTTTATGTTCCATGCATAGCTACAGCTCAGAGAAGACAAAAACCCAATTCCATGGCATCTAAGACAAAAGAACATCAACTCCGAAGACCCAAATTTTAAGTATTTCACTGTGGGCAACAGAATGGTTAAATAAAGAGAGCCCAAGAGAAGCATGCTAAGCATACACTGAACTCTTCATTCTTCCACCTGATACAACTTATTAGAATTGATTTGCTGAGAACAGAGTAGTCTTCACAAATATGTGCTGCTTCTTACAATATAGTCTTTCCTGGGACATAAGGAAATACGGAGGGAAAACCAAAAAATCTTTCTAGCTTTGTTGTTTCTGTCACGACTACAGAGTTTGTCAAAATAGCTTTCATTTGAGCATCTATCCCAAAAGGAGATACTCAGAAAGGAGGACAAACCCCACAAAATTATACTGGAAGAAACTCAATCAAGTAGGCCTGCTGAGGGCGTCCACATTTCCTACTGTAAACTAGGAGCAATCCTCTAGAGTTAATTTCTCTTAACATAGAATCATAGAATAGTTAGGGTTGGAAAGGACCTTAAGATCATCTAGTTCCAACCCCCCTGCCATGAGCAGGGACACCACACACTAAACTATGTTGCCCAAGGCTCTGTCCAGCCTGGCCTTAAACTCCTCCAGGGTTGGAGCATTCACAACTGCCAAGGGCTTATCTACACATCAAAAATATACTGCTTTAGCAGAAGCAAAGAAAGTAAAACAGTTCAGCATGTGGCAAGTATTCATTTATACACTAAAATATACTGGAATAAAAGATGGTAAGCCTTTGTGTGTAAGCTCTCAGATATAAATGATCTTTCTATTTCATACCAGCAGAAGTTGTTGACACTAGTGATTGTATTAATACAAACATTTTTGTTAATTAAAATAAAAAAAAACCTACAAGCCTGTCTGAAATATCAATACTAGCACACAAGCTTCATCTGACCAGACTTCACCTCTATTTTATTACTTCCTACTGCTACTCTGAGCACTCTCAGGACAAAAGAGTCAGATAAATCTTTTGAAAGATAATTCAGGAGGGGGAAGAAAAAGCCACTCTGGGACACGGTTCTACCCTTCACTACTTAAGTAGAAGTCTCGACAACATGTGATCTGTTTTACTTAGCTTGCTGGAGGTAGTGGTTTTGATTCTGTGTCATTACAGAAGATACATAATGACTAGTAGGAGTCCCTCCTAAATCTGAAGTTACAAGTCAGTGAAAGAAGTCTGTATGTTGGAATCACACAACAAAAAAAACCCTCATAGCCAAAGAGTCTCTCAATGGCTTGAACATGTACGTTGTAAAACCTTAAGTGATCTGTTCTCACTTGTTTTAACTGAGAAAATATGTTTATGCACTGATTTATTACCAGTTACACAGCTTTATTTTGTGAATTTACTTAAGAGTTAGCAGAAAATCTTAATGTTTTAATATAATTTGAGTGGAAATTATATCCAAAGCAGCTGCATTCTTCACTCACCACAGAGCCACCCAAGTGTTTTGTGGTTACTCCTAACACAGTATTTCAGTGAGCATTAGGCATACAAAACACTCCCTGGAACAGATGTAGTTCAACACCAACCTTGCTTTGACAGATCAAGTTACTAGATGTCAATTCTGACAAGGAAATGTAAGTGAACATCCTCTGCTAATGAGAAGGAGCTCGGAGGCCTGTGTACACAGCAGTCTCTGAAAGCAAAATTTAAACTACCCTTGTTCCAACACTAAAGAAATGTTAGGGGGTAAAGGGAAGCTGTTCTTGCAAAACAAGGATTAGCATGATACCACTATGCTAAGAACAGCATCTTCTACATCTCAAGAGGTGAAAATTTTTTAAATTAGGACCTACTTCTTCTTATTACTGAGCATGCAGAGTCCCATACTGCAGATATACCTCAGTATACCAAACATATGGTAAAATACATATTTCATATTGTTCTACATAAGAAAAATTATCTCTAAAGAAGCACCATAAAACCAGGGAGAAATGGGAAGATGTTACAAAACACTAGAATTGAAGACAAGCCAAAGAGAAAAAGCAAACTGCCAATTAAATTCCACTTCAACAGTTCTTTTTACTTTTATGCACATGATGACTGGACTGCACATATAATTCAGTAATATTGTTGTCTCTCTGACAATTTGAACAGACAAACTACCATTACTGGATGCACAACTGCAAACAAACCATGTAAATTGCACAACAGAGCCTTTAAAACAGCCTGCTGTCTTGACTATGACAGCAGCCAGCACAAGATACTTTCGAACAGAAACCAAAAGAGCTACCAAAAGAAGAAACAAGAAAGAATTAGTCACCTTGTTATAACAGACTATGAACTTGCCCAGCTGGTAAGCCAGGATACGACGACGATCATTTAGTCCTAAATGACGGCTGGGGAGCAACATCTTCAAGGACTGTTGAAGATTGCTGGCAGCTCGCCTCAGGAAGTGTACCACAAGCTCCTGCAAGCAAGAGAGATAGCAATAACAATGGACCAGCTGTGAGATGTGGTGAGAGGAGAACAGAGGTATTAAGGCAGCTACTGATTGGCAAGAACTAAACACATGGTCCTGAGAAAACGAGAACACTTGAGGAGTGTTTGTCTGAAAAGCATGGCAGATGAAAACAAAAAACAAGCAGCAAAAAGCAGTAACAACAAAGAATCACCTGTAAAGTCCAATACCTTAGGAGAACATTTCCAAAAAACAATCTGCAATGTGTTAAAGCCTGTGATGAAGCACACTGATATAAAACCCTGAGTACTATCACAGGGAAGGGGATCTTGGTCAGATATTTCCAATACAGTGATCTAAGCCCCCTTTCATCACTTTTCATGTATGCATACTATTGCCACAGTCTGTCCACAGCAACAGATGACTACATCTATAGCCATGTAATTCCAATCCCCCACCATGTCTGTCTGATGCATCCTGTGGGTGTTTTGAACCCTTTCTGTCTCCCCTCTGGATTTGCTTTTGGTTAGGAGGTCTGCTAACACATAAATGAGCAGCCTCACAGCTAAACTATTGGATTTCACAGCTCGCCTCTCACTGCCATTACTCCAGGCTGGTTTGATCTGTTATTTTAAACATTATTTTTCACAGTACAGCAGACAAAGTGACTCTCAAAAAGCCAGTTTTAATTTCCACTTGGAAAGAGCAGGGGTAACATTTTCCACTGAGTCAACTGATTATTCTTGACACACAATT